GGCCTCGGAGCGGAGGAAATGGTGGTGGCTTGGATGATGGGTGAACATGCCAAGCAGAAACGGGACAGGAGCAGAAGTGCTGAGATGTGAGACAGCAAAGTGTTTGAACACTCCAAGTCATTCACAGTTGCTGGAGCTAAAAGGGCAGGGCCAGGGCCAGGATAAGGGGTGAGGCTGGGGGGTTTTGTGTGCCAGGTCTTCTCCACCCTGGGGAGTCACCAAGGACACTGAAACCCCATGGCAACAAGATCAGGTGTTGATGTTTAATTTCTGAGGTCACTTAGGCAGTAGCGGATGGGTCAGGAGAGGGGCAGGGAAACTGGTTGGGAGACTATTGCAGTAGGTCTGTTACTACTGTAGTGCTTAAACATGGGATTTGGGGGGCAAAGAGTCTTGAAGGAAAATATTCATTTTCACACAATTATGCTACACATGGTAGGAAATCAGAAATGACACTTTGCAAGTTTATAGAGACATTCTCAGTCCTGCAAGTGAGGGGACTGCGCTTACAACAGTTGGCTTGTGTTCATTAGTCTGCATTTGCAGTGAAGGCACTTCCCTGGGACATCATACAAATTTGAAACCACTGTGGTCTATGCTTAGGACACTACCTGGCATGTAGTTGTGTTCAGTAAACATGTTAAGAATGAATGCATCTCCATGGTTCAGCCCAACTCTGTGAGTCCATGTATCCTCCTGGCTTGGGGAAGCAAGAAGGAGGTGTCCCGGGATGAACCCTTGAGACTGAGTCACAGGAACCAGTAACTAGAATAGTGTGTCACTTTGGGGCTATTTTGCACAAAAGCCCGACATGGGGGTAGGTGTGGAGCAGCTGGGTTTCAGCTTTCCCGCTTTCCTCCGAATCAGCTTAAGTGGAACTCAGCTCCTAGTTGAGAAAGGTGAGCTGGCTTTTGCAAAGAAGTGAGGAGGAACTTGCCTTTTATTTTCTGAGAAAACAAAAGAGGTAGGAGAACCCAAGAGTGTCTAGCTCAGAAGACAGAGGCACAAGATTTGGAGGAGGGGCCCAGGGTCAGGACACGAGGCTCGAGGCCACTAATCAATCAGGCTTGTCACCGTGCAGTGAGGGCAGTCCCCAGAGCCTCTGGGTCTATTACTCAGTGACAGCCAGGACCCGGGGAAGCCCAAGATTCGAGTTTGGGCCTTGATGTGGGAGACTGTTAGCCCCTGAGGCCTACTTGTGAGCGCAGGGGTCCTTTCCCTTTAGATCCGCACGGTGTGCCGTCCCTGCTCTGAGGCTCTGAGCCCAGCCCCTTGACAGCCACTTCCCATTTAATTCCCTGCGCTCCAGTCTCAGGGAAAGAGTGCCCCATGCTGTCCTTACTATCTTTCCCCCATCTCATTGCCCTGAACCATTTTTTTGTTCTTAAATAATGGTATTTTTCAATCAAAAAGTGGTACATGTTCCTATAAAAGTTTGGAAAGGAAAGGGGCTTTGCAGCTGAGTTCAGGCTGTTGGGAAGACCTCCGAGAGCCATGGTGAGCAGACAGACGGGCCTGAAAAGCCCCCGTGGCCGCCTCTGATGTCCTGTCTTTTCATCTCCCGGCCCCTCAGCCAGTGCCCAGGCCTTGGACAGAATGGGATTCGCCACCTATGTGTGTCTCTGTGAAAAAGATTTTTATGCTGAGAATTCTGAGTTTGGATACAGAGCTCAGGGCTGTTAAAGAGATTCCTGCTACATTAGCTCAGAGGTCAGTGAGGGACCACAGAACAATGCCACGAAGCTCAGGGTCTTAAAGGAAAGATCCTGTTTTGCCACTGTGAATACGGGAGCTCACACCATCTTCTTCCTGCCTCCTGGGGATGCTGCAGTAGAATGAAGTGTTGTCATGGGGCGTCCTGCGCCTCTTGAGGAAGCTGCTGGAGACAAACATCCAGCATAGATTTGTGCAGCACACTGTACAGGTGTGCAGAGGTGTAGAGGCCACAGCCCCTGGGCTGGTCAGGCTGGTGCAGCTGGAACTGGCCTGGTAGCATGTGTCTGTGAGCTGCCTCCTCTCTTTACCCCAGCTTGCTGTACAAATACAAATTTTTATGTGTGACATGATGGGACAAAGGTTGGGAAACCCTGTTCTATACCATAGTTCTCAGTCCTGGTTCTTCCAGAGGATGAAGGTTACATTTGAGACACACTCCCAGGGTCACTTGATTGAATCTTACAGACAGATGGGACTTTAGAGGTTATGTCCTGCCCCCACCCACCATCCCCATCAAGTGCATGCACATTTCTCACAGATGCTCATTAGGTGGACTTCAGCACTGCAGTGGTGGAGAGCTCACTACCTCTTAAGGACTCCCATTCCATTCTGGGACAGCCCTCAACTATAGAAAATCCTTCTTTTTATTGGACCAGAAACTACCTCCCTATGAATTCCACACTTTGACCCTTGGGTCATGAAGAACAAGTTTATACTGTGTCCTAGGCAGCAGCCCTTCTGATATTGGCCTCCAGGAGTTTTGTTTGTTTCATTAACAGATATTTTTTAATGAACAGTTTTAGATTTATGAAAAAATTGAGCACATAGTACAGAATCCTCAGACTTTCCCTTTTTATTAATATCCTACATGCAGATAGTACATTAGTTACAGTAATGAACCAATATTGATACAGTGTTAGCTGAACTCCATACTTTAGGCAGATATCCTTAAGTTTTACCTAATATTCTTTGTCTATTCCAGGATCCCACCCAGGACACCACATTACATTTAGTTGTCATGTCTCTTTAAGCTTCTCTTGGCTGTGCCGGTTTCTCACACTTCCCTTGTTTCGGATGACCTTGACAGTTTTGAGCAGCTATGTTGTAGGATGCTTTCTTACTGGCATTTGTCTGTTTTTCTCAAGATAAGAGATTGGGGTTAGAGGTTTGGGGAGGAAGACCACTAAGGTAAAGTGCCATTTCATCACACCATATCGGTAGTATGGTATAAACATGATTTTAAACTATCAACTATCTATCATAAACTATCAATGTGAGTTATGACTGCTGGTGATGACCAAGACCACCTGGCTGAGGTAGGGTTTGTCTGGCTTCTCCACTGAAAAGCTACTCTTTTCCCCCTTTCCATGATGTACTTTTTGGAAACCAGTCACTGGGCACAGCCCACACTTGGGGAGTGGGGAGTTGTGTTCTCCATCCTCTAGGGTAGATATGTCTTCCTCCCTACTTATTTATTAATTAAGTTATTTATTTACATCAGTATGGACTCATGGATATTTATTTTATGCTTTGAGTTATAATCCATTACTACATTGTTTTGTTGTTAAGCTTGTTCCCGCTCTGGCCATTGAGAGCTCCTTCAACTGGCGCTTGCTTCCCTTTAGCAGACTCTTATCCATGTGGGGTTTTGTTTTGTTTTTGAGCATTTCCATACTTTCTGTCACTAGAAGATGCTCCAGGCTCATCTTGTACATTTCCTGCCCCAGTCCTAGAGTCATTTCTCCAAAGAGCCTTTGTTCCTCCTCCTGGAGAATGGTATTAGAAACTAAGATCTGATTGGTAGGTGTGCTTGTTTCTGTTGGGGTGTTATTTCTTTCAGGACTTTTCAGCTAACAAAGCAAAGAAATGCATGTGTGTGTTTATGTCTGTGTGTGTGTGTGAGATGTATGTGTACATGCACTAATCCTTGCAAATACCATATTTTTAAATATTTCTATATGTATCCATCTGTTTCCATGTTAAGTTAAAGATGTGTTTTTACTGATGTCTCCAACTCTACCATTATCACAACGTTGTATTGTTGATGTTGGCCTTGATTATCTAGCCACTCCAACAGTAAAAAACCTGGTTCCTACCATCCACTATCCATTTATTTGTTTGATTCCAGGGTAATTGTATGGCAGTATCAGAGTTGTTAAGCTCTCAGAAGTTTTGTTTTACTTTACCTTCGCTCAACTTAGACATCCACTAGTTTGATCTGAGGTCAGGGCCTATAGAACCACCTCTCCCCCAGACCATGTCCCTATTCTCAGAGGTCAAGATGGACTATTCTAAGTAGTGCTCATGATGTAGAGGGCTTAGCTGCACTGGTGATATGAAGTTGAAGTATTTACATACCCATTTCTTATTTCAATGTGTCCAGTATACCAAGTTTTATGGCAGAGGGATTGGCACCAGCTGTGTCTCAGCTTTGGCTAAATGTCATTCAGTTCCTTAAGTGAGGGCTGGAAAAAGCAGAACACATGAGTCCTGCTTCAAAGAGCAGAACCCAGCTTGAAGCTATGGCCGGTCTTTTGCTAAACTTTGGTCATTTCAGTGCCACTTTCATGATTTTTGCTCTATTTACATAGACTCATACTTTTTAACTTAAATTTTAGACTCATTCTGGCTAAAACCTGCCACAAACTACAGGTTTAATGTGCTAGTTATAGTTTTGCAAATGGGTATTAAAATTAAGGCCTAACTGTTAGATAACTGTTATCTGTGTGCTATGCCCAATGATGTCACATACCTCATTGCGTGCTGACCACCCTTTGGGGGACACAGCTCTGCTGTTTGGGTCTTTCCCTCCCCCCTGTTTTCAGATGGGAAGTCTCTTCTGATCAGGTCCCTGGTGTTCAGGCTGGGCTCCTACATCCTAGATCATCAGGACCACTGTGATGGTGAGAAGAGTTCCTGGACGAGATGATGGGTGCTTTCTTCTCTTTAGAAAGAGCAGCTCAGCTTTGATCTCTTCCCCTAATTAAGGTTTATTTAAAGGGCACCTACTTAAGGTTGATTTGAAGAACAGGTTCTATGGATTTTTTTTTTAAGTGTGAAAACCGTTGGACAAGTCAGTCCAGGATAGACACGGCTAGAAAGATCATTTGTTTGGTTATTCATTCAGCACTTCCTTAAGCCTCTCTTAACTTTTCCAAGCTTTAGGGCCAGGAAAGCGGTCTTCATGTGTATCTTGTTTATTATAATGAAGCAAAATAAACGTCAGAGCAGCATGAAGTGAAACCATGCCAAGCACTATTCCAATTCTCTTCCACTTGACCCAGGTTGAGAGCAAGCCTTTGGTTCAAACTCAGAAGCCACCTTCCAAGATCAAGAACCTCAGAATGACTCGATTCTTACATAAGGTAGGAAATAATGTTTTTCTCTAGGAGAGGATGAGGGTAGGTGGGTGGCTGGGATAGCTTTTAACAGCCATTTTTAGTCAACTCTGCTTAACATGATGAAGACTCTCTATCCACATCACCATGCCCCATCACCACACAATTTAAAATGTTCCTATTCATTGACAGTCAGACTTCTGCTCTTCTAATTAGTCAGTCAGTCAATCAATCAATCAATGCAGTGGGTGGGGATCCAAGTGAGTATATTTCAAATTGATAATGTAGGGGAAAAAATGGGAGCTTCTACTGCACAAAGGAAGATTTGCATTATACAGCAGGAAGAATTTCCCCGTCTTGGGGCAGAAAGATATTGGGATGATGATAATAATGGCTCACACTTAGGGAGTACTCTGCACAGACTGCCTCATTTACCTCACAAAAGCCTTATGAGGTAGGCCTTATTTTTGTCCCCATAGTAGTCATGAGATAATTGAAGCTGATAGAGTCAGTGTGACCTGTTCACGGTCCACAGCTAGTAATCGCTGGTGCAGGGATTCTAGCCCAGGGCCCATCTATTTAACCATTCTGCTTTTGTTTCCAAGAATTTTAGGCCTGAATTTGGTTCTCTGTGGGGAGGGAGCTGGGAGAAATGACTCCTGGGAGACACTTTTTTGCCTGAGGCTTCTGAGGTCTCTGCTTTCTCCTACAGAGCGCCAACAACAGCATCACTTCACTGCCTTTTGTGGGCACCAAGGGGAGGAAGACCATGGTCAGGTTCCCACGCATCAGCAGCAAAATCCTGCTCGGGCCGCCCCTGCTGTACCAGGTGAGTACAGGAAGTGCCCATGGCCCGGAACAGATTTCACCTTCTCAAATCTGGACCTGATTTCACTCCAGAACCAAGGTTAGGAAGGCCCAGGGTGGTGTGAAGCACAATATTTACTGAAGATTTGATTCTGGTTCTGTTCTCTTCATAAGGAATGTGAACTTAAGCAAATAGGTCATTGACTTTCTCTTAAGGAAAAAAAAGACCCTCTGTAGGGTTGGTGTGAGGATTCATTGGGGAAAGGATACATGAAGCGTCTGGTGTATGAATGGTAGAAGCACACAAAATGCTTGTTTTCCTCCAGCGTTCCCTACTTTTTTGTATGCAAGGACCACCTGAGATAATGGGAGAAGTGCCAAGTTCAGGGGGTGTTATGCATATATGAGTTCCCCTGCTTGTGCCCTTGGCCAAGTCACTTCCTCTGGTTAGGAACTGGCCTTCTCAACAGCAGCAGTAAAAGATTGTTCCCATCTCTTTCCCCTGATGTCACGGGTCATCAACTGCATACCTTAATGTACACGGGTCTCACGGAGGCTAATCTGAGTCAGACAGATACTTCCCTTGACAGAAAGATTGAGAAAACCTACTGTCTCATAATTTTTATTTCTTCCTGGAGAGGAAGGAGGAGAGTCTGGCTGGATGCAGGTTCTTGGATGTGTAAGTGGTTTCTGACACTCAGGAGTCGCCTACACAGTCCTTAATGCAGGTGTCTTTCCCTGGACAGGAGACTCAAGCTCACAATCACAAGCCAGCCTCTGGGGTCAAGACTTCAGAACTGCCTTCCCTTTCGAACATTAAAACCCAAGCTCCCAAGCCAGAGGAGAAGCCACTAAGGAAGCACAAGGTTCCTCTGACGGCGTCAGGTATGACTTCAGGGCAGTAGCAGGGCAGGGGAGTGGGCAGGTGGTTGTAGATGGTCAGGGTGTCAAGGGCTGAGCTGAGCTGGAGAGGGCTAAGCGGCCACGTGTGCATGGTCAGTTAAGGCAGCAAGCTGAGGTGAAGGCGACGGTCAGGGCAAGCCTCCTGTTGCTTACTGTGAGAGAATAAGCAAGAGACTGAATGGGAGAAAGAACCGACGCCCCATGGCTCCATTGTCCCCTGTGGACACAGGCAGGGCCAGACGTCTCAGCGCATTCAGAGGGAACTGTCCCACTGAACAAGCCTCCTGTCATTTTATGGAGGAGGGGGGAGGGTGGTAGGGGAGGCAGAAGAGGCAGGAGTGGATAGTACTGAGTACTGCATCAGGGTCCAGTGTCTTGAAGTTTCCCCTCCTCTTGATAAGGAGATCTGGGCAGAAGCACCTGAGGAAGGCCTCTGAATGGAGGCCCCTGGGTTAGGAAATGCTGTAAGAGCATGGCCAGCCAGGGGAACCTTGTCCTTGACCCCAGCTCTTGGGAGATTTCACTGCCCTGCCTACGCACCAAGGCTGGCATTGGGGTTGGGGGCAGCTTCCCCCTGCGGCCTGCCAGGTAAGCCTTGTAATTACCTATGGTCCGGCCTGAAAGATCACACATGGGCTTGTGGCCAGGAGCCCGACTCCTCACAAGGTTTGGGGATTCATACCCTAGCAGGGTTCAAAGGAAGACCCCCAAGTGCTAGGGGTACCTGCTGTGTGCCAGCATCACCTGATGCTTGGGGCTCTTCTCCCACTGCTTTGAAATCGCTTGTCCTTCCTCTTCTGAAACAGGCTTGGGAACTACCCAAGAGCAGGTCATGTCAGTTCCGAGCTGGTTCTGCCTTTACAGAGCTGACCCTGCTCTCTTCGCCGTGCCTCTGCCTGCAGGGCGAGGAATGTGCCTTATTTGGCTTGCACACAGAGGGCCCTCACGCAGAGACACAAGTCTTGCCCTCCATAAGTTTTTTTCCTCTTGGCAGTTCCTTCTCCAGCTCTTCTTGCCAGACAGCATGGTGCCCAGGTTGGGTTTCCCCCCTCTCAGCACTTTCTGGTTTATCTCCATCTCTCTTAAGGATTCCCACCCCCCACCCACAGACCACACGCCAGACCCCTAATGTGATTTGGCCAGTGCAGAGCAGCGAAGAGTGAGCACGCGTCCCTCCCTCTGGTCTGAGGCCCTCACTGGCTCAGCGGCAGATCTGAGTGGGAATATCTCCTGGGCCTTTAAAGTCACGAGCTGCCTGGTCCCTGATGACATTACGGTTTGCAGACCCCCTTGGGCGAGTCTGTTTGTGCAGCCCAATCCCATGTTAGCTTGGGCAGCTGCTACCTTACCTACATCTTGCTGTTATACTAATTTACTCCTGGAGTTTTTACCCACGCTGCTGTGACTCCATAGCCCTTTGGGAACTAAGTTCTCCCTTTTCCCACTGTTATGTTTCTCTCCTGATTTGTTGAAATAAGTATAAGACCTTGACATCTGTCCTTGCTACATTTCCATCCTGAGATTCAACAAGCATGGTCTCTAGTGAGCCACCCAGAGGCACAGGGCTCTGAGCTGGAGGAGAGGCCACCATCTGCGTCTTGGGCAAATTCCGTGTCACCTCAGCTTAACTGACAATCACAGTGTCTTTCACACAGAGGCTCTAAAGTTTTTTAAGAATCGGCTGTCTTCTTACGAGCAAAGTGAAATCCTGGGCTACACAGAGCTGTGGTTCCTGGGGCTCGACGCTGAGAAGCTCCCCGCGACTCCTGGGAAACTCAACAAAACAAGTTTTGATGATGAACACGGCTCGTACATGAAGGTGATGGGGGAGTGGGTCATGGGGGCTCCAGGGGCCTGGGCCTGGGGCAAAGGGAGAGTCTGGGACTGGGCATTTTCTAGCCTATGGGACTGGTATGTCTGGGAGTAGGCATCCTGAAGGATTCTAGTAGGTGCTAAGCCAAAGAAATGCCTTGTTAAAAATGGGAAAATGTACCGTTAGCACATAGCATACTCCACTAACAGAACACTGGCTTTTCTCCAGGAGTATTTGGGGGAACAGGTTTACATTCTGGGTGACCCCCACGGGCTCTTCCCCTGCATAGCCCTGGGTCCACCAGAAAGGCCAGACGTTGGAATAAGATACAGTCTCCCCAGTATTTACATTTTTGTCTCTTCCATACAAGCCCCCATGACCCTTTCCTATTTTATTACAGACATCATTTCCCCACAAAGGTTTTGTCCCGACAGCCCTGGCAGCTGGTGCTTCACAGCCCTCAGTTTCCCACAGGTGGACCTGAGCAACTCCACCTGCTCCTCTTCTGGGGTACCTCGGGGGTTCCCCAGGCCAGTGCCTCTTACCAGCCTGAAGGTGAAAACTGGGCAGTGGAAAGGATCCGTTTTGCTTCAGGAAGCAAATCTACTTCTGAAGCTGTCCAGATATGTGATTCTTAGTCTGCGTGGCTTGTGGGCTGTTGGAATTTTCCTCCTGTGGCCATTTCCTCCTAACTTGGTCAGGTTTAGGAGGCAAGATTGGTCTCTGATGGCTTCATAGCAGGGACAGATTTTCTTAATAGTACTTAGGGTTGTGTTCCTCAAACTTTACTGTGCACAAAATCACCTGGGGATCTTGTTAAAATGCAGATTCCTATCCAGCAGGTCTGGGTTGGGGCCTGAGATTTTGCCTTCCAAAAAGCTTCCAGGTGAGGCCTATGTTGCTGGTCCCTGAACCACACTTTGAGAAGTGAGGATGTAGAGTTTCTGGCACATAGCCTCTATCTAGAGCCCTAGTTCTTAGTATTTTTAGGTCAAGGATCCTTTTGACAATCTGATAAAAGCTGTAAGTCCTCATCCCAGTAAAGGCACCCTGAAAAGACACAAATTTTAAAGGGAGAAGGGAAGGTTGTTAATGGATTCTTGGTTAAGACTCTTCAATATAAACTGTAACTCCAATTCAACCAGACATCCTCAACTCCTCCCACCCTTACCCCCAACCTGGAAATAGAGTCTCTGGGAAATTCCCTAGTGATGTTAGCACTACCTTTAAGTTAATTCACTGGAGCTCAGTTCCTCAGTCTCAGGTCTTCAAGAGCTCTGTGTTTGGTGGGAGGAGAGGGATAATGTGTACTTTCTGCATGCTCAGAATTTCCTCCCTTATTGCATTCCAGTGCATGCACAGAAATGCAATGCTAACAGCCAAATTTCCAAATAAGCAACACAACCACATTGTCATATTCTGTGTCAGCAAGTGTTAATTAAATACCTATTTATTGAGAACCTATCATAGGCTTGGGCATCTGCTAGACTCTGGAAACATAAAGGAAATACCAAATATCAACAGTAAGTATGATCTGGTCCTTGGCCTCAAATAACCCCAATGTCAGAGTTGATACAGAAGCAAATAATAATGATACAGGCAAATTGGTGGTATACAGAAGATACGCACAAACTCTAAGGAAACGATATATACCTTTGCACCAGCATCTACAGAATCTCTCTCTTTCCCTTTCCCCACACATTCTCATGACAGACCTTTCCAAACAGTCACCCACTTCCACATACCAGTAAAGTTGTACATGTTCATATTCATGCTCTCGATTCCTCCTATTGAACAGACTCCCGCCGTATGACCGCAGACCATGTAATCCTTTATCTCTCTCAAATTCATGAGTGTAACACCAGGAATCAGAGATTCTTAAAGCTGCAAGGCCTTAGGTATCATATCTTATCCAGAACCTTCCATTACAGCTGAGGGCACTGCAGCTCAGCGTGGTAAAGTGGCTTTTCTGAAGCCACCCAGATGGTCTTTTTAATAGAAAATTTCCTGTGGCTTTGACTGAACACCTGCTCCTTAGTTTCTAGTACACAGATGAATATGCGTGGTTTTGGCTCTTGGGACATATGTCTCTTCTTAGTTGAGAAACGTCCACATTCTGTACTCCTAACTCCAAGACAGAATTAAATCTGGATAAGTCAAGAGGAGAGCCAGATCTGACCAGGAAGAAGCAGAGCACACGCAAAGTTCTGATTGATGTAAGACACATTAAGTTTCAGAAATGGGACTTCCCCCAAACTGAAGCTGCTATTGATGTGCATCCAAGAATCATGTGATGTCCAAACTAGCAGGGACCTTTGGCGCCACTTTGTTTAACCCTCTTCCTTTACAGGGTTGCATACATGCTGAAAACTAGGGGTGGTAGCAGGACTGGGACTAGAAACCAAGTTTCCCAAAGACTGTCCAATATTCTTTATACTCTCTGACAATGATGGTGTGGGACTTTCCCTGGCACCACGTGGGTGGTCTGGAATCCAGGCAACAACCAAACCATTGTCGTCGCAGTGAGGTGAGGGTAGGAGTCACACAAAAGTACCCAGTGCAGGTCAGAAAACTGCCTCCAGGAGTCAGCCATGAGCTGGGGGGGTGGGTATCCAGGGACCCCAGTGTCAGGGAAGTCCCAGAGCTTGTAGCTCTGCTCTTCATCCCTGGCCTGGCTTCTGCAGGTCCTGCATGACCACATTGCCTACCGCTATGAGGTTCTGGAGATGATTGGACAAGGGTCCTTCGGGCAGGTGGCCAAGTGCTTGGATCACAAAAACAATGAGCTGGTGGCCTTGAAAATCATCAGGAACCAGAAGAGGTGTGGCTCAGCGGATGGCACAGGCCATAGACTCTGGTCCCTTCGTAAAGCCAATGCTCCTGGCTCTGCCCCTTGGCCTGGCCTTCCCCGACCTTTCCCTCTTTCTCTCTCTCCCTGAGGCCGCGGGATGGGGCTGTTAGTGCTCTCTGCCTCCTGGATGACCCTGTTGGGGTGATGGGGGAGGGGGTCCTGAGGAAACAGGCCACCTGCCCCGGCACGACATGACACCTGGGGGTCTTCTGTCCCCATTTCCCGCCCTCCCGGCCCCTCCCCTCAGATTTCACCACCAGGCCCTGGTGGAGCTGAAAATCCTGGAAGCTCTCCGAAGGAAGGACAAAGACAACTCCTGTCACGTGGTGCACATGAAGGACTTTTTCTACTTCCGCAACCACCTCTGTATCACCTTCGAACTTCTGGGGTCAGCTGCCTTTTCTTTCTGATCCATTTTCTTTTGGCAACTTGGTTAAGTGACAAGAGAAGCTTGAGGTCAGCACACTAGATTTCCCTGGACGTGAATGTTTATAATGACTAAAATGAGGGAATGGCCACTCAAGTTACCGAGAAAGCCCGGAGCAAGGAGGCTAGACCGAGAGCTGCCCACTCACTCAACCCCTCAGTCCTGCCTGTCACCTGCCAGCGTTCACAGCGTGTGCTGCCCAGGCGCCGGTTGCTGAACTTGGTGGCACCACCAAAACAAGGCCTCTGCCCTCACAGGCTAGACTGAAATATGCTGGAAAGGACTCTCCTTTGCTACCATGTCCCCACACACTGGCTTTACAACCCTATACGTGGAGATTGAAACCCAGGGGCGCAGACAGCTGGCTGTTCAGAGTGGGGGAGGGTCTTTGCTTTTGTGCAGATAAGGACAGGAGCAGATATTTTGGGCAAGAGATCAGAACCTGACTTAAATAGATTGGCATGAGCTGGTTGAGTGTTAGAGCTGAAAGGGTGTGTTGAATTTAAGGGCATGCTGATTTGATTAGTTTTCTCTCTGAAAAGACCATCTGATGCATTTAAATAAAACCAGAAACCTAGAATACATTTATCATTTGGGGAGGGCTCTCAAAGGCCCAGTGTAATGAGATTCCCTGAGCTGAGCTTGGGGCTCCCACAACGCCCTTGTTGATTAGTGAAATTCTAGGAACTGGCTAAATTTGAATCAGAAGGAAAGTTGATACTTCCTCACAGTCCCTGATAATTACAAACTGTGGTCCACTTTCCAATATGCAGAGATGAATTATTTCTTGTGGCAAAATGGACATCCTAGGCTGCCTTCCTAGGCCAGTAATTGCAGTGCACAGTTAGGATGTCTTTTTAGTTACAAGAGGTCTGCGAGGTCCGGAGGACAGATGTGTGGATGGAGAATTCAAAGGCCAGAGAGGGTGGGGAATTGCCCAGGGTCACACAGCTAGTCAAGATGAGGCCAGAGCCAAGCCTCACATCTCCCCTGTATGCCTCAAGAAGGAATGGCTTCCCAAATACTGCCAGAGTTAGAGAAACTTAGAAACAGAAGATGAGGAGAAAGCAGGGGGAGGTTGATGCAGGGCTGTTTCCCGGTCATGCCCTTTCCCTCGCATCCAGGGTTTGCACAGAGATCACAACCTGGCAGCCCACGGATAAGTTTTTCTTTTACAAATGCTTTGTATTCATTTCCAACATTTTCAGCTCAGCAGGTTTCATACAATATAGCAGGCTTTTATATAATATTTCAGGCTCTGCCTGTGTAGAAAATTTAGGATGATCTAGCAAGAGAGAGCCTTCATTCCTGCAAGGCGACAGGCAGAGCCAAGCAGCCAAGCTCACTTTAGGCAGGATAGGCCTTCTCCATTTTGCCTCGCCCCCATCTGCCGCTCTCTTGTCTTGTCTTTCGGCAGCCTTATGAGGCCTGGGCAGGAGTGTCCACTTGGCAGACTTACCAGAGGACTTTCTGGATCCCTCCCAAGGGCCTGAAGAACTATGTATATTTCAGAAGCTTGGTCCAACCTTTTAATACCCGCAGGTGTAAAAAACTGATTAAGTGCCCTGCCATATAAGAAATGAGGGGGCATCTGAGAGGCCAAGACAGTTGAGCTTCACCCTAAACCACCTTGAATGAATGGGTGAGTTGGGCTTACAGGACAAGAGAGCTCTGCCTCCTGCTCTGAGGCCTGCCTACTCCCAGAGGGAACCAGGCCATGTGGGGTTGTCGGCAGGTTCAGACTCAGCATCATACTTTTTGCACTGACACACATCACACTCTCTCTTTCCCAGAATCAACTTGTATGAATTGATGAAGAATAATAGCTTTCAAGGCTTCAGTCTGTCAATAGTTCGGCGCTTCACCCTCTCTGTTTTGAAGTGTTTGCAAATGCTTTATGTAGAGAAAATCATTCACTGTGATCTCAAGCCTGTGAGTACAATCTCTGTCCTGCCAGAGGGGCTGGTTTCCGCTCTCAGATTCGTTTGCGCCTTTCCATTCCCCAGGGGTACCTGGGCTGCCACCATGGCCAGGGCTCTGTTGGGAACCTGAGCAGTCATGTTTGTAGGTTGTATAAACCAAGTGAAGATTACTGGGGCAACAAAGAGACATGTGTCATTGAGGGTGACACGAACAGGAAGGTCTTCCCATGGAAGGCTTAGGGGTGAGCAGAGGCACATGCCACACAGGGAGAAGGGTCACCACTGTACTAAATCCATTATTTCCACTCTATTGAGATGGTCTTAGTGTACAGCAAGTCTCTGACCATTGCCTCTTCCCCAATGGACGCGTGCTTCCCGCACACCCTGCTAGCATTGTATACGTAGCTCTGTTATTGTACTGATTGTTTTGTGTAGGAATTGCTTCTTTATCTGTACCCCTCATTGGACTGCCAGCTTCCCTAAGGCCAGGAGCTATGTCTTCTCACCAGTTTATTCCCAGGACTAGCACGGTACCTGACAATAGTAGGGTAGGCAATAAGTAAATATTTGCTAGAAGGGTTAGTGTTTGCAAATGTGGCAGCTAGGGGAAAGGTATAAAGGTGTGAAAATATGGGGTCAGGAGCTGGTTCCAAAAACCTGACCCCCACAGAAATGTGAATATATTTTAGACTTTTCCTCATTCTCTTTTCCTCATCCCCAAAAGTAGCTTAAACAATTTTTTTTAACCTAATTCATTGGGTAAAATTGGGATATTTATGTAATTAAAGATTGTCGAGGCAGACATGTTCTCTCAGGGATTATTGATGGAGCCTCACCAGGATGGTAGTACATTTGTTTCTTCTCAACATCCAAGCTCCTAATCCTCAGCTTTGCAGCTCCAGAGGGTCACAGCACCCTTGATCTTTGGGCTTAGGGGACTTATTCTCACCAAGGACATTCACAAGACATGGTAGCCGAAATAGGAGGTAACAGATTTCCTTGAGAAACAGATCAAGTAGACTAGAATATATGTGCCCAGTAGGGAAATATACACACAGCCAGGAGAGTATTTGATGAGTACGGATTCAAGAGTCAGAGTTGTTCTTCTGGACTTCGGGCTTCCTATCAATGAGCTGTGATGGCCTGGTGCATCCATCCCCTCTGAAGAGCTACTTCTGCCCATAAGATGGGAAGGCCAGGCTCTTCCACTGGTGTAAAAAAGTGAATAAGTGCCCTGACATATAAGAAATGAGGGGGCATCTGAGAGGCCAAGACAGTTGAGCTTCACCCTAAACCACCTTGAATGAATGGGCGAGTTGAGCTTACAGGACTTTCTAGAGATACACTAGAAATTCCTGCTTTAAAAAATCTTTTGCTGATCATACTCTTTCAATTAACTATTCTTTAGAAAGGGTGCTATGCTCTAGATTGGTACTTTCTTGTTTATGGTGCCAGAGTCTTCAGACCAGGCCTGCCGTGCCACATCCAGAATGTTAGGGGCTCAGTATGCAATCAGTTCATCTGTTATTTATAGTAATCAATTCATCTGATGTTGACATCCTTAAAAACATGATCAGGATTTAATCTTCCAGCCCAAGAGGTACAGACCACAGTCAAGTGGGAAGTCAGAGGAGGGGAGAACAATGGGATTTGGAGATGGTGTAGGGGTGTCTGCTCAGAGGTGGTCAAATTTTGAACGGGGTCCTGGAGGATGGCAGGCATTTGGGTAAATAAAGTGCCTGGGGCAACATTACTAAACTTGACCATGTCTTTCTTCTTCTCTCTAGGAGAATATAGTGTTGTACCAAAAGGGCCAGGTCTCTGTTAAAGTCATTGACTTTGGATCAAGCTGTTACGAACACCAGAAAGGTAGGCTCATTCCGGCCCCTTGGCCTGAGTTTTCCTACTGAGATTTCCTTCCCTTTACGGAAAAATATTCACACATGAGGTCACCTGGGTTCTAGTCTGGTCTCAGCCAAAAAACAACTGCTGGTGTGATTTTGAACAAGGTGCTTCACTTTTCGGAGCCTAAGTTTTCTCATTTATAAAACGAGAAGGTTGGACTCAAATACCCTAAGTGTTCTTTGCAGCTCTCATGGATTTGGAATTACCCAAAAGCATTGCATCCTGGTACTAACTAGGTATATATCTGAATCACATGAGGCCTCTGGAAAATTATAGCTTCCAGGGCCTTGACCCGTTGTACCCAATCTACATTTCTGGGGGTGTACCCAGAAGCCTGCCCTTTAGCAAACACAGACCTTCTGAAGGTCGGGCCTCACTGGCCTGGGTTTTCTGGGCTTTGTACTTTTTCAAGCTGGAATCCAGAAAGCAGCCCTGCAGGACATGTGCGCAACCTTCACGGAACTTGATATGAGTCTCTTCTTTTGGCTGTTATCAAGTTTGTTGTCAAAAACATGCACCATTTAACCAACATTTATTATCTGCTCTGTGTCAGTCAGTGTCCTGGGTACCAGAAACAAAAAAGTGAACATTTCTTGTCCTCCGATGGTTTACAGTCCACTGCAAGAGCCAGAAAGATGAGAAGATACCAGGACAGGTTCAATGACTAGAGACATGTCCAGGCTCTGTTAAGGGCACACTAAAGAGGGGCTTTGGGACCGGCCTTCTTGATGGCAGTGGGTCTCAGAGGAAGCCTCTGGGGGCTGTAGAAAAGAACACCAGATGGATATTTGTGAACATTCTGAATATCCACTTTTGAAGATATGTGCGCTTTATCTTTTCTAAGCCCACAGGAATTCCACCTAGAAGACAGTGTGCCTCCCACAAAAACTCATGTGCTTACTTTCCTCACATGAAAGCTGTGTAACTTATTTGTTAACATTGATCTTGGCTGACAGGATGCTCAGAACTGAATTTGTAATGATTTTATATTGTTTCTGATAGTCATTTGCTCCTTTATTTTCTAACTTCCCTTTATCTCTGTTTTAACCATGAGGCAGCATAGAGTATGGGTACTAGATTCAAATGGACTGAGTCTGAATCCCAGTTCTGCCACTTTTAGCTGAATGACCTTGACAGTTTCTTTAATCTCTGTATACCTCAGTTTCCTCATTTTAAAATGGCCATAATAGTACCTGCTTCGTAGGGTTGTTGTAAGGTTTGGAAGAGTTCTTCTGTATAAAGCATTTGGGATGGTGCCTGGTACATGTTATTAGGCATCATGTAAGTATCTTTTAAATCCATTTTTTAAAACTACCCTGTGTAATGGACTTTGACTGCATAGTGCCTCCAGTCCACTTTAATACCAGGCAGGGTATAAAAGTCATTTTTATTATGTCTTTGTTTTAAATCACATTTTAAATGTCTTTTGTTTAAATCACACAAAGGATGTAAATATTACATCCTTATGATAACCAATTAAACCAACAGAGAAGTGACTATAAGCAACTAAACCAACAGAATCCATGCCTCACCCCCACCTAGGGAGCCAATAACAGCCATGGAAATAACGATCATGTCCCACTTCTCTGCCCTCGGTCTCCTCACCTGTAAAGTCTAGGCTCCTACACTGCTATCTTCTATACGTCCTCTCTGCACAGATTTCACTGAGCTTTTATTTCTATACATTATACAACAGAATGCACATAATATATTGAATTTACATTTTCAAATTATGCATCTTGCATGGTTCTTTTTAATTTTGAGGTGCCTCTTCCCTTGCCAAATCGAAATACTTTCAGAAGATGTCTGCGCCGAACTAATTTGACAGTTTGAAAACTGAGTTTTATATTAGTCTTATGTTTCCTTTTTCTTAGAGCTTGGCTGACTTAAATTTACTTCCCTAGAACGATGCCTACTTTAGAGTTGTTTATCAATAAAGTGAGGATAATAACACCTCCAGGATAATCAAATCCTGCTGTGAGGATTGATGAGATCAGATGTGTGATATGACTCCTAAGTGCTGGTCGGTTGTACTACCACCTCCCTGCAGAGCCTGGAGAGTGAAAAGAAGTGGGGTTGCCTTAACTATAGTCCACCCCCACCTGAGAAGTTATCCTGAGGAAGTGGGCTCTGGAGACGAGACTGTTTACATGAGGTTCATCTTTGTTTCCTCCTCAGTATACACCTACATCCAAAGCCGTTTCTACAGGTCCCCAGAGGTGATCCTGGGCCATCCCTACAGCATGGCCATTGATATGTGGAGCCTGGGCTGCATCATGGCGGAGCTGCACACGGGCTACCCCCTGTTCCCCGGGGAGAATGAGGTGGAGCAGCTGGCCTGCATCATGGAGGTGAGGGAAGGGCTGAGGGGCCACAGGAGAGCCGGCGTCCACTCTCAAGCCTTGGGCTGCATCACACTCACTATAGGACAGTGGCCTGCATACTTTTTCTTGGTCAATGTATTTTTGAAATTATGTACCACTTTGTACACTTTTGAGTTGACATCTAACATTTTTATCATAAATTAAATGGTTTCAGAGGATATAGTTTCCAGCGCATTGTGAACAGTGACTTTTAAAAATAAACCATAATATCAGTCTTTCAAATAAATTCAAAAGAATCCTTTAAAATCCAGAGTAACATGACACTGTCCAAAACTGTGTATTGTTTAGTCATTAGTCAGTCATTATCTTAACATTCTGGAAAGAATAGCTCCCAATGAAAAAGACTATACCAAAACTCATTATATGATTATTTATTAGACCTATTCTCCTCTTACTTAAAGGCATCTTGTTATGGAGCTAAATTAGATGAAACAGGAGAAAATAAGCCTGAAATACTGGAAGTTTCACATTTTAGGATTTCCCAGTGAACAAAGATATTTTGGCTCTGAACAATGATCTAATTTCTCCCTCGATCATCCCTATCTATCCTACCTATCAGTCCCTCCCAAATTTCTATTTTCTAGATTATCTCAAAGTTACAGATGGTCAGAGAAATTATTCAATTATAGATAGTTTCATTCCATGGTTGAAACTAATAATAAGTATTAAAATATTTTGGGTGACAATAGCCGTTAAGTGGTAGTTATGGTAGAATGGACACTGGCCTGGGAATTGGCAAGCCTGGAGTCCAGTCCTGGGCTGTGGCGTCACTTCCGCCTTCTGGACCTCTGCCAGATGAGGGGATCAGAGCACATGGCTTCTGAGGCTGATGAAGGACGATTTAATGAACCATCCCCGAACCAATCCTGCTCTAATACCAAGGGAGCATGGGATCTGGGTTGAGGTTCCTGCCACCCCAGAACTGACTCAGTCTCTTCCTGACCTCAGGGTCAGTGAGGCTGAGGAGCAGGAGGGCAGGGTTGTGCATGGATATGGCAGGGGACCCAGTGGCGAGGAGGTGACACCTGTAATTTCTCTATCAGCAGTGGGGAAAAAAGTGAACAAGTAGGTGCTATGCTTTTCTTTTCGAGGAGATATTTTGTCGTGTGGTCTGATGTCCAGCCCACCTGGTGGCCCCCATCCCCTCTGCCTTTCCTCCCTTCCCAGGGCTTCGTGTTGGGACGTGTCATTTCTTAATTCAGGAGCAGGCAGCGTGTACACTGGTTCAGTCACTCTGGCGAGGAGACCTGGCTGTCGTCCAGAGCGGCCTACCTCTGACTGGTGCTGCTGCCCACTTAGAATAACACTGCTGATGCTGATGCTCAGGGCACAGAAGCAGCCCTGGATTAGGAGTCAGAAGACCATGCTTTTGGTCTGCTCTGCCCCTGGCTTAATGTCAGCACTTAATGTCTCTGGGTCATTATCTGTAGGAGGCCAGGCTTGGCCAAAGTCCCACCCGGCTCTAATATGTGTTTTTGAATGTGTAACTCCACAAGAGCAAACCCAAGATCTTGTACTTGTTGAAGGTGCTGGGCCTGCCCCCAACCCGCTTCATCCAGATGGCCTCCAGGAGACAGACCTTCTTTGGTAAGTCCCCAGGTCATGCCTAACTCTCCCATTGTGGCTGATGAGGTTTCACAGGTCTTGAAGAAATTCTCCTGCAGCCCCCATTTGGTGGTCCTCCCCTGGCCCTAACCCAAAGGGCAAGCTCTGCCTAGGGGTTCCTTCAGCAAAGTAAAAAGATGCTGAGACGTGGTACCAGGTGGCAGGATGGAGATGGGCTGGCAGTGTCACGTCGGGAATCCCACTCAGAGGAGCCATCAGTAGATCTTGGAACCTCAAAAGATTATAACTGTACCTCTCCTGAGAACTCCCCCTTCCCCAGGCAGCATGGCTCCTCATAGTGTGCACTGTGCAGGGACACCAAGGAGCAGTAGCTTCTTTTCAAGATTGGACATGCTATCATTAATGGAGTATTATTCCTTCCTGCTGAAACACTCTCAGTCCCCTGTATCCTTATTATCCCAGGATCACTGCACCTTTGACATAAAGCAGGGTCAGGATGGCCACGCTGTGGCTTGCCAATTATGTAGGGGACTCTTGCCTAATTGCTGGGATTAAGCCTAATCCACAGCCCTGTGCTGCACCCTCATCACAGTTCCCAGGCTCTGGGTGATGTGACCCTCTGCCTTTCTATTCAGAGGTGCTGTACCAGATGGCCATGTAGACCAACAAGGCCCAACTGGGGCATGGCTTCCAGGGCGTGGTGTGCCGGAAAGATGAAGTCAGTCCCCTATCTCAAATCCCTTTGAAGAACCACAAGAAGCTAAAGGATTTCCATGTAGAAAAAGCCATAGTGGCCCAAAGATCATCCAGACAGGGGTGAGGGGTCCTCCATAGACAGGGTCTCCATGCCGTATGGGACGACATTTGTGACCAGCCACTGTCATCAGGATAGTACACAGACTCATACTGGCTGTGGAGTCCCAGTCGTTCCTAGCCCTCCCACCTCTTATTTTCACCCAGGTGGCCTCAAAATGGTAGACAAATCACAAAGTTTCTCTCCACTACTTGTCCCATTAGTAGGAGAGTCAAAAACACTGCCCTGGACAAAAGAGTTGCAGTCACGTTGGTGGGCAGTCAGCATGCCCTGGTTCAACCATGCAGGGGTTAAAGGGCAGTCTACTTCTACAGCATTTGGTAAAAACCTACAGCTCCGAGCCCTTGTCCCAGCCGTGGGAAACTTGGCCTCTCTCCTTGGACTCCATAGACTTCCCCGTGATCCAGAAACTAAGAGTGGAAGGCCTGGCAGGCAGAGGTCCTCCACAATCCTACCTAGTGCCATCCATTCTGACTGGTCAGCCCCACACCATTCCAGTGGTTAAGCCTTTTAAAGGCCTCCTTGTAGTCATAGCCAGAGCTTTGAAAACCTTGCCTCTGAGCAGGGTCAGTGTCCAGGTTGCCTTAGAACAGCACTCTCACACTAACCCTTTCTCCAGAGCACTCTGACGGCAAGCAGAGTATGCATGGAGCAGTAGAACTAGTCTTTTGACCCCAAATATACTTTTCTACCATTTTTGATTCAGCCTTGTGGATTTCAAAGGATTTAAAGAAAGAAAAGTATGTTTCTGCTAGACAAACACATTGTGGGGAGAGTCACATCTTAAGCTTTAACACTTAGGTCGAGAGATTGTATGTAGAATATAGAGTATCTTGTTAAGAGTGGACCAAAGACATACACATGTTCATTTCATAGAGCACCCTGGTTTTACCATCAGCACCAGACTTTAGACTAGTATGGAATTTTGGTAGCAATATCCCCATGTCTTCACTTCTGGCATAAGAAAGGACTCTTTTGGGAGCTGCATCCTCTTCAAACTTTATCTGATTATAGGAATCATTTGGGTGCTTGATCAGTCATTTGGCTAATGCCCATGATCCTGCTATATAACCTATGATATAACAGATTTGAGGTGGAGTCTGTTTTTAACAACAGCTCCTTGTGATTCTTATGATACTGTAAATCTAGGAAACACTGTCCACTTCAGTTGTTGGCTCTCCCCCAGATTTGGGCTACCAACAGGTCCCGCACACCCAGCCACCCTTAGTTAATACTCCTAACAGGCAGCAAAGCGACAGTTCCTCAAAGGCAGTAAGATAGGTGTTCTAGGCAGCAAGAAGGAGATGGGGAGGCTAGTTAAATATTGGGAGAGTCAGAGAGGTGAGAAAAACTTGTACAAGAAAAACAATTACACAGTGGTGACTTTAGGAGCTATGTTTCTTATAAGCCTGAGAGGCTGATTCTTCTTTGGTCATTTGTAAAAAGAGCAACATTGGATAAGGTGACACTGGTACCAGTGTCAAAAAGGAAGTGGGGATTTGTGTGAGTTCATGGCACCTTGTACCCTTTGCAATATTACCCCAACCCATTTTCATCTATACAAATCTGCAGATACTCAGGTGTGTCTATACACACAGATTCACGGTCCCTCCCAGGAATTCAATACGAGCACATATCATTTAGGGGGCCCTGCAAACTGCACGATTACAAAGTAATAGAAGCCCTTCATTATGTACCTTCCAGAAAGCCTACTTTATGACCCACATTTTTTGTGAGGGTTCAGTTTAATATGTAAATTGTATATGTGTGTATACACATCCCCCATTTACATGCAAATGTACAGGGCATGAGCCTAAGCGGTCATCTTTTTTGGCCAGGCACAGCAGAATCTAGATGTCCACGTGAGCAGTGTCACCTTTAAAGCATTACACAAAGTTTTGGGACATCTCTGGCGCTATCTTCAGGGCTCCTTTTCAGGCATGCCAAGTCATACATTTGGTGAGGGCCTTAATCAGTGGAAATGGCTGGAGAAAGTAATTTCCAAGCTGTGTCTTAAACAACCAAGTTTGATCATTCCAATTGTGTACACAGTTTTAACGTGACTATAAAGAATTAGAACATCTGGCTTGTGTGGCTTGTAAATGAGCTCTGAAAACAAACCATTCTCCTGGTAGCAGTTTCTTGCTATGCCTGTGGCTGTTCCATATTCTCACTTTATTGGCTCAGTGGGGAGGGAGCAAGGGCATAGATAATCCAAGAATGGGTGGTGTCCTTCCTGTCTAGGGCTGAATGTTTTTTTCACTTCATTCTTATTATTTTATTTGGTTAATGTTAAACCATTTAAGGCATTGATTGATTTGGGAAAGAGGTGGTAGAAAGGAAGCTCAGCACATGCTGAGTAGTAGGGGAAGTTATCTGTAAAAGTTAATTTCGTTCACTGGAGAATCACACACGGTTATTTCCAGCTGACTGGGACTGCAGGTCTGTTTGTGCTTACGGGAGTGGGAGGTGCAGGACAGAGAGCCAGGGGTATAGAAAGCAGTCCAAGAACTCCAGTGGCTGAGTGAACAGCTGTGATGTGACCAATGAATTTTTACACCTGGAACTAAACACAGAATGTTGTATCTCTAAAGATTCCAAAGGTTTCCCTAAAAATATAACCAACAACAAGGGGAGAAAAAGATACCCGGATTCCAAGGATCTCACCGTGGTGCTGAAAACCTATGACACCAACTTCCTGGATTTCCTCAGAAGGTGTTTGGTGTGAGTTTGTCGGGGTGTCTTTGCCTCTGAGTTTCCTCTTAAACACTGTACTTTCCCACGTGTTTGCTGGTGAAAGTCTGGGGCTGGGAGACGGTTATAAAAGGAACAACAAATGCTGATTGGAGAGCTTTAGAGTCCATGAAATGATTTCCTATCCGACTGGTCTCTCCCCTTCCTGTGTGATAGGGCGGGCAGATAATTTACTCCGTTTTGAGATATGGGGGGCGGGGGCAGGGGCTGAGGCTTGAAGGGATGAAGTGACTTGCCCTGGATTGCAGTGTGTGGGGAGTTTGCCTTCTTGGCCACAGTGAGTTTGCCTGGCAGTGAGGCGTAGGAAAGTCCTAAATGTCTTCTGCTTGGTGAACTGAACGCAATCTCTTCCATGTCCTTGAAACTGTTTGCATACACACCGGTGTATGGTTTCAGGGTTACTCCCCGTTCCCCAGTTATTTAGAGCCTAAATCCTCTTGAAGTAGGGAATTTGGGAAAGGGTGATTTATTATGTGTAGCTTTTTAGAATCTGTGTCATATTTTGACTCTTAGAAATTAGGTTCTGTACTTCAGTCAAGTTACAGCAGAACAGGACCAGTACACAAAGCCGCCCCAGAATGGTGCCTAGTTGAAGTGTTAACAGATGTTAGCTTTTGTCAGTAATTTCACAGAGGTTTTGCAAGTCTGTCTCCACTGAGTGGCAGATAGATTAGCCACGTGACATTTAGCAAGTCGTTGTCTCTCTCTGAGCTTCAGTTTCCTTTTCTATAAAATGGTCCTTTCAGGTATATTCGTCCTATAATTATTTTGTATTTTTAGAAGATCTTATCTTTATGCTCTTTCATTCTTCCAGTGGGATGAAGTTTTAGCAAAATATTCTCCTGGCATTTGTGCACTCTGGAATTTAGGTACTAGCTCAAAGACTGAGCCATAAAGTACTGCTGAAAAATTTTCCTGAAAAATGGAGGTAGAGAAGGATCCTGCACGCCATCATCACCCCGCATCAAGCTTCTTGCTGAGGCTATAGAATGAATGTGCAGTTACAAATGATGGAAACTCACTACTAAGACAGAGGGGAGTTATCCAGAAACCCCAATCGTCCAGTATACAATGTAGAACTGAGAAATTCTTTTTTAAAAACTGAAGTATAGTTGACATACAATATTATATTATATTCAGGCGTACAACATGGTGGTTCAGTATTTATATATATTATGAAATGCTCAGCATGGTAAGTGAAGTTACCATCTGTCACCATAAAAAGTTATTACAATATTATTGACATTATTCCTGGGTCTGTGTTTCATCCTTGTGACTTACTTATTTTATAACTGAAAGTTTATAACTTTTACTACCCTTCAATTATTTCACCCATACCTCCCACTCCTCTTTCCTCCCCTCTGGTAACTACCAGTTTCTTCTCTTTATCTATGAGTTTGTTTTCGTTTGTTTGTTTGTTCATTCGTATTTTAGTTTCCACATATAAATGAAATCATATGGTATTTGTTTTTCTCCCTCTAGGTTCATCCATGTTGTCATAAATGGCAAGATTTCATTCATTATGGCTGAGTAATATTCTATTGTATATGTATATATATACCACAAGTTCTTTATCTATTCATCTATTGATGAACACTTAGATTACTTGCATATCTTGACTATTATAAATAATGCTGCAATGAACATAGGGATGCATATATCTTTTCAAGTTAAAGATTTTATTTTCTTTGGGTTTAATGCCCAGAAGTGGAATTGTTAGATTATATGTATTTAAAAATTTTTTTTTGAGGAATCTCCACATTGTTTTCCATAGTGGCTGCACTGATTTACATTCCCACCAGCAGTGTAGGAGGGCTCCCTTATCTTCACATCCTTGCCAACACTTGTTATTTCATGTCTTGTTGATACTAGCCATTTAACAAGTGTGAGGTGATATCTCATATTTCTGATTTGCATTTGTTTCTCTGTTAATTAGTGATGTTGAACATCTTTTCAGGTGCTTATTGGCCATCTGTTTGACTTCTATGGAAAAATGTCTATTCAGGCCCTCAGTCTATTTTTTAATCAAGTTATTTGTTTTTTGTTGTTGAGTTGCATGAGTTCCTTATGTATTTTGGATATTAATCCTTTATTGGGTATTTCATTCGCAAATTTCTTCCTCCATTCAGTACATTGTTTTTATTTTGTTGGTGGTTTCCTTTGCTGTGAAAAAGATTTTTAATTTGATGTAGTCCCAATTGTTTATTTTTGCTTTTGTTTTCTTCGCCTATGGAGACAGATTCAAAAATATATTGTTACGCCTGAGAGTTTACTGCCTATTTTTTCTTTTAGAAGTTTTATAGTTTCAGTCTTACATTTAGGTCTTTAACCCATTTCAAGTTGCTTTTGTGTATGATGTAAGATAGTGATCTAATTTCATTCTTTAGCATGTGGCTGTCCAGTTTTCCCAGCACCATTTATTGAAGAGACTCTGTTTTCCCCATTGTATATTCTTGCCTCCTTTGTTGTAGATTAATTGACTATATAAGCATGGGTTTATTTCTGGGCTCTCTCTGTTTCATTGATCTATGTGTACGTTTTATGCAATACCATACTGTTTTGATTACTGTAGCTTTGTAGTACAGTTTGAAATCGTGGAGTATGGTACCTCTAGCTTTGTTCTTTCTCAGGATTACTTTGGCTATTTGTGATCTTTTGTGGTTGTACATGAATTTTAGGATTATTCTAGTTCTATGAAAAATGTCATTGGTATTTTGACAGGGATTGCATTGAATCTGTAGGTTGCTTTGGGTTGTATGGATATTTTAACAATACTCATTCTGCCAATCCATGAGAACAGAATATCTTTACATTTATTTGTGTTTTCTTCAATTTTGTTTGTTAGTGTCTTATAGTTTTCAGTGTACAGGTCTACCTCCTTGGTTAAATATAGTCCTAGGTATATTATTCTTTTTGATGTAATTGTAAATGGGATTGTTTTCTTATTTTCTCTTTCTGCTGGGTCCTTATTAGTGTATAGAAATGCAACAGATTTATGTATATTGATTTTGTGTGCTGCAACTCTACTGATTTCATTTATTAGTTCTAATAAATTTTTTGGTGGAGTCTTTAGGGTTTCTATATATATGTCATCTGCAAATAGTGACAATCTTACTTCTCCTTACCAATTTGGGTGCCTTTCCTTTTCTTGCCTAATTGCTGTGGTGAGGACTTCCAGTTCTGTGTTGAATAAAAGTGAAAAGAGTGGGCATCCTAGTCTTGTTCCTGATCTCAGAGGAAAAGCTTTTAGCTTTTCACTATCAAGTATGATGTTAACTGTGGGTTTGTCATATATGACCTTTATTATGTTGAGGTATGTTCCCTCTATACCCAGATTGTTGTGTTATCATGAATGGATGCTGAATTTTTTCAAACACCTTTTCTACATCTATTGAGATAATATTTTTTCTTCATTTTATTAATATGGTATATTATCTTGATTGATTTGTGTTTATCAAGCCAGCCTTGCATCCCTCAAATAAATTCCATTTGATTGGAATCCTTTTAATGTATTATTGAATTCAGTTTGGTAATATTTTGTTGAGAATTTTTACATCTATGTTCACTAGAGATACTGGCCTGTACTTTTCTTTTTTTTATAGTGCTTTTGTCTGGTTTTGATATCAGGGTGATGCTGATCTCATAGAATGAATTTAGAAGCATCCCTTCTACTTCAATTTTTTGGAATAGTTTGAGAAAGACAGCTGTTAACTCTTTTTTAAATGTTTGGTAGAATTTTTCTGTAAAGCCATCTGGTCCTTGAATTTTGTTTGCTGGGAATTTTTTGATTACTGATTCATTATTTTATTTTTTAGTGCAAAGGGCTGGTTGCTCACAGCTTGCAAGAGGCAATCAAGATAATGGGGCCTTTTATGCTGTCACTTCATATTTTGCTAATTAGCAAATCTTTGGAATGAGAGACTAAATTTTTTAGTCAAATTTTTTAGGGGTATATGTGAAGTCCTGTGCCTACATTTTACAAGCTAATGCTAGAAGTTCAGGGGAGGAGACATGTAGTTTAACAGCAGTTCATTTGACAAAGAACCAGGAACTTGATTTTATGACCTTGATGAGTCTATGATATTAATACCATATACCTGCAGTTAGATGTTATTCCCAGCATTATGGACACCAGTTAGACAGCAGCTGAAATTTCCTATCTCCTGAAGGTGGCAACGATATTATATGATCAATAATTAGTAGTAATGTAAGTGTTTTCAGATAGTTGAAGGGTTGTGACATAAAAGATAGATTAGTTGACCCATTCTGTATATAGTAGTCTCCCATTTACCTGCAGTTTCACTTACCATGGTTTCAGTTACCCATGGCCAACTGTGGTTCAGAAACAGAAAATCCTCCTTCTGATGTATTGTCAAAAGGTCACAGTAGCCTAATGTTATGTCACAAAGCCTACATCATTCACCTCACTTCAACTCTTCATGAAGGCATTTTATCACCTAACATCATCACAGTGAGAGTATGGTATAGTAGGATATTTTCAGAGAGGGAGAGAGACCACATTCACATAACATTTATTACAGTATATTGTTACATGTCTTCTATTTTATTATTAGCTATTGTTATTAATCTTTCTGTGCCTAATTTATAAACTCAACTTCATCATAGTATGTATGCATAGGAAAAGGCATAGTATATCTAGGGTTGGGTACTATTGATGGTTTCAGGTACCCACTGGGGGTTTTTGGAATGTATCCCCTGTGGATAAGGAGGGACTACTGTAATGCTAATGGGTAGAATTAGGACCTGGGTCTAAGTCACTAGGGTAAAAGTTCTTGGGAAGTGAATTTTGGCTCAATAAAAATAAATTTTTAAAGAATTGGAGTTTTTAAAAATTGTAATGACTAGTTCTGAGAGTGAGAGCCTTGTTACTAAAATTACTGAAAAATGGCAGGATGATTCCACGTTGGTAGTTTTGTCAAATGTATTTTGTTACTGCATTAGGAATTTGGCTGCATTATATACAAGTCCTCTTAGTCTTAATATTCTAGCATTCTATAATATTCTTTGTGATATATTTGGAGGCCCAAATTCTGTAGTTAGGAAATTGAAACTGAGCATCTCTTTGATCTTCTTAGTTTACTGAACCCTAAATCCCATTGGTTAAGATTTTCTATAATATTTCACATACCAGAAACTCTGAAAGACTTGGGCTCTAAGATATTCCCTGGCTTGTCATACAAATTTTCTGAAAAGACTGTTTTTAACAGTTGTTTCAAGGTGCTTTTAACTTATATGTCATAACCTCTGTTCTGTGATGATTTATTTGTTATAGCTTCCATGAGCTCTTTAAAAATGAACTGTTTTTGTATCTTATTTAGGTTCTTTTTTTGAGTCTTTTAAAATGTTTCAGTATTAAAAAGGGAAGCAAAACAATAACCCATGCTGGGCTTTGTTGGTGTGTAGATGGGAACCTTCTCTTCGCATGACCCCTGACGAGGCTCTCAAGCATGCTTGGATTCATGAGCCACGGAACTTCAGTCCACGGCCCAGGCTCCAGACCCCGAGGAAACCCAGTCTCTGTTTCCCTTCAGAGACCAGAAAGAGCAAGGTTCAAGGGCATCTTCAGTTGGGCAAAAAAGGTACGGTTCTTCAAATATTCAGTCCTTTTCCCATCATTCAGGGGGTCAGGTATCTGAAGGCTTGCATGTCTGAACTCTAAATAGATAATTATTTTGTATATATCACCTCTAGCCTACCATTTCTTACTTTGGATTTATGTCTTTTAGGAAAATTGGTTCTATATGGGTTCACTGCTTTTTCGCCCCCGTTTAATTAGGATTTTTTCGTCTTTCTCCTATCTTCAATTCCTTTTCTCTTTCCCTCCTTTTTCACTGTGTGCTTTTCTGCAAGACCTGTAATTACCTTTTGAATTTTTATCAGATTATGGCTTATGCAAATATCTTTTACTAGCAAAATAGCCTATGGTTATGAACATGGTCACTGGAGTCAGGTTGTTTGGGATAATTCTGGCTCTACCATTTACGAGGTGTAGGCCCTTGGGCAATGAACTTCTCTGTGTCTAAGTCTCTTCATTTATGAGGCTAAGAATAATGCCTAGTCTATGGTTGTGGAAATGATCAAAGGAATTAGTAAATGTAAAGTGCCTAGAAGAATGCCTGGCACAAAGAATAATGCTTTACAGATGAATTGATTTGTATCATTACCACCAGGATCTGTAAACTGCCAAAGTGATTTACAGCCTAATGGACAGTTAGAATGTAATTCACATTTGAACACTTTTTCTTTCTATCTTCTCTCTCCTTCAGCAGGTGTGATCATCAAAGAAGAGACTATAGAAGAAATGAAAGACAGCTCCACTAAGCAAGTTCAGAGTTCAGGTCATCAGCAGGGCTCTCTCCAGCACACAGCTGAAGTTCAGCTGCCTCATCTAGTTGAAGCTTCCAGAAAGCCAGAGGCAGTTGTTGGGCCAGAGGAGTCCAAGAGCTCCATAGGACAAGAAAACAAGAGCTCCTGCCCTGAAGACACAAACATTTTACCATCTATTATATGACCTTTGCTGAGGGTGTGTCCTGTTCCTTTCCGCCAATGATTTGTATTAGAGACAGCACTTATACTGTACAATACGTCAGATTGTTTTTTCATGCATAAATGTTTGTTTTAAAAAAACCCTCTGTTTACATGGGCAATTGGCGTGATTCCGATTATGAGGGGTGGGAGAGGGTGCCCTTGCACCTATGCTCCTTCATCATGCTTTCAACCAGATGAAACAGGGTGTCTGTGCATGTGTGTGGGTGTGTCAGGGCAGGGAGGTGTTAAGTACTCAATGTTACATCACTAACAGAACTTTTAAGAGGAAAAAATTTTTCATGTCCAAGACAATTCACCTCTTTTAGGATTCTTGTTTGAAAATGACAGAAGCCAAATTCAAGCTACTTGAAGCAATGATTGTATAATCGGAGAATCAGGAAAGGTGTTGTTTCAGGCATAGCAGGATCTCAGAATTCAAACAAAGTCATAGGGTTCAGACTTCCTCTCTACCTATTAGTCTTGCTTGTTTTTATGGTTTTCATTCTGAAGACAAGCTCTGCACAGAAGTTTAGATGACCACTATCATCCAGTGAAAAGATGCAGTCTTCTTAGCAGCAAAGTGTCAGAAATGATTTGACTTGAAACAGTCACTGTATTTGAGATATTGGGATCCTCCAATTGGTCAGTCTGCATATAAGCCCACACTGTGATGGTGGTGGTGATAGCACCATGAATGGAGTAGGGAACAGGGAGTTTCCAGAAGGAAAGGTAATCGAGTAACAAGATGTGTTCACTCATCTACCCTAATCAAGTCCATTTACTATGTGTCTTTCTAGTCCTTATCTACATGAATATATACTATCTATAGATGGTTGCACTTGTAGTACAGATAAAATTTTACAAGAAACTTAAGATTATAACATCATAACAACATGGACATAGTTTTCATTTTAATCACTGTGTAGTATCCCAGAAAGGGAGATTCCAGGTAATTGAAGTTATGGGTTTGTATGAGATCACCTAGGGAAGATGCTACAGAGTAAGAATAGCAGAGGGGTAAGAGAAAATCCTAGGAAAGATAAATATGTAAGGGGTTGATAGAATTGAAAAGAGCCCCCAAGAAATATAGGAAAACCAAAGGAAGAGAAAGTTTCTAGAAGAAAGGATCAAGCATGAAAAATTCCATAGAAATAGAAAGATCAGGACAAAAACAAAAAATGCTTCTTAGGTGGTGTGATAGGAACACTGAGTATCAGTCTGCATATAAGCCCACACTGTGATGGTGGTGGTGATAGCACCATGAATGGAGTAGGGAACAGGGAGTTTCCAGAAGGAAAGGTAATCGAGTAACAAGATGTGTTCACTCATCTACCCTAATCAAGTCCATTTACTATGTGTCTTTCTAGTCCTTATCTACATGAATATATACTATCTATAGATGGTTGCACTTGTAGTACAGATAAAATTTTACAAGAAACTTAAGATTATAACATCATAACAACATGGACATAGTTTTCATTTTAATCACTGTGTAGTATCCCAGAAAGGGAGATTCCAGGTAATTGAAGGTTTGTATGAGATCACCTAGGGAAGATGCTACAGAGTAAGAATAGCAGAGGGGTAAGAGAAAATCCTAGGAAAGATAAATATGTAAGGGGTTGATAGAATTGAAAAGAGCCCCCAAGAAATATAGGAAAACCAAAGGAAGAGAAAGTTTCTAGAAGAAAGGATCAAGCATGAAAAATTCCATAGAAATAGAAAGATCAGGACAAAAACAAAAAATGCTTCTTAGGTGGTGTGATAGGAACACTGAGTAAGAGCAGTGTCATAACTGGTGACTTGTCCCAGGTCCTACAGCCAGAAAGGTACAGAACTGGCAAGAGAACTCAGGTCCTCTGGACCTTTTTGACACGAACTATCTTCATCCATTGGATAATACTGAGGCGAATGTTGTTCTGCAGCTCTACAGAGACAGGACAAGAAGCCACATCCTCCATATCTTAATTAGAATGACTTAGGTTGGATATTAAAAAATACTTCCTGTTTTGCATAGTTATAAAAGGCTGCAATAAATTGTGGCTTCTCATTTTTGGGGAACACTTAAAAGCAGGGGAACTGCGGAGACAGGGGCATACACAGGGAGCAGGCTGAGTGATCATTGGCAGGTCCTCTCAGCTCAGCACTATTTTTAATCTGCTTTCCATCTGATTATTTTTCATACCTGAGATTTCATCTTATTGTCCTACTGGATCCCAAGGAAACCAAACACCTGAAGTCCTGCATTGTAATTTTTTAATTTTATGATCTTGCTCGCATGGGCAGGAAAATCTGCAAAATCCAGTGACTAGCGTAAGATGACATGTCTTTTATGTGAGTGGTATGAAGATGATGTTAGGGTTCGTTGAGGTTTTGGAGGAGGAAGCTGTGGAAGTGAGAGAGAAGGGAGGGGATGTGGGTTGGGCTGGGCCCACTGCTGGAAGAGGGGAAAGCATTGGTGGGGGCGGGGGGGCGCTGATCACAGGTTCACCAGCAGCCAGTCCAGCAGCTGCAGCTGCGTGTCATTCCCCACCGCCTCATCCAGCTGTCTTTGCTTCTCATAGAGCAGCACCGCTTGCAGAACCTCCCCTATGCTGCATCCTTTTTCCACGGCGGCAGCTGAAAGCTGAAGTAGCTGGGAAAGGAAGGAAGGTGGTAGTGGAGGGTCAGAGCGTCCCAGAGCAGGCTGGCAGGGGCCTGCCAAGGCAAGAGCAAAGGTGAGGCAGACTTTGGGAAACTGCAGGAGCGACTACTAAATTAGATGTTGAGATTTCTTCCATAATTGTAAAGTTTTCTGGTCTGTTTGACAGAAGAAAGGTAGTTATATCACCCTTAATTTAAAGAAGAGATATTAATATCCACCTATCCATGATACAGAAAATATGATTTCCCACTAAGAATAAAGTCTTCCTGCTTCCAGTGGGAGTTTGGTCAATGGTGTTCTTGCTCTGTAAGAATTCTAAAGTTCTTAGGGTCGCTGTAATACCGTAAGTGTCCGTGATTGTCCCAAGACCACCAAGAACAAAAAAGAAACAGCCAAAGGGCAAATGTGGATGCTGCTTCCATGCCCTATAGACCTAAGAACCCTACTGTTCAAGCAGGAAGGCTGCTTAAAAATCCATTCAACCCCCACGAAAATGTTGCCCAGTGAAGGGAAGAGACTTGTCATTCATACAGTGCTAGAAATTAGCAGAGACAAAATTTATACCCAGGTCTCTTAACCCTATGTTTAGTTCTTTTTCCAAATGTAAAACAAGAAAAATTAGCCAAAGAAACCATTCTAATATGAATACAGTACATTGACATTCGTCTGGAATCCTAGTGGCAACAGACTGAAGTAACCAGATTTTTATTTTGTGCGTTCTGCACCTGACTCTGTGAGAGAGTCCAGAGGAAAATAGGCCAAACATCAGAAGCTTTTCCAAAATGGGGGAATTTCCACAAGAGGTACTGAACCACATATGGATACTCTTGAAGCAAATGGTAAGACAGAAAATCTTACTAAAGAGAAGACATAAAGGGGCACCAAATGGAAATTTTAGAACTAAAAATCAAAATCCAAAATGAAAACATTGGATAGAGTAAATAGAATGGAGGCAAGAGTACAGTTGATGAACCTGAAGACAGATCAATAGAAATTAACCATGTTGAATAACACAAGAGACTGATTAACCCTTCTTCAGAAAAGACTTAAAAGATAACCAGAGCTCAGGGAACTGTGGGACAATACCAAAAGGTTTTATATTTATGTCATCAGAATCCCAGGAGAGGAGATAAAGGGTGGTGCAGAAAAAATATTTGAAGAAATGGTGATGAAAGCTTCCCCATTTTGCCCAAAGATAAATTCAAGAATCTTAGTGAACCTAAAATAAGGCAAAACTGGAGAAATTTACTTCAAGACCTATTATAATCTTCTGAAAAGTAAAGAAAAAGAAAAAAAAATCTAAAAGCAGCCATAGAGAAATGGGTGCATTATTTATAAGGGAACAACACATCTAAGGACAGCAGATTTCTGGTCAGAGACCATAGAGGCCAGAAGGAAGTGGCACAGCACTTCTTAAGCACTAAAAGAAAAAGTGGAATTCTATAGCCAGCAAAAAAAAAAACAAAAAACATTTCAAGACTGAAGGTTAATTAAATTTTCAGATCAGAAAAATAGTAAGAGAATTCATTATCAGAAAATGTTTTCTAGTTCTTCAGACACACAGAAAATGATATTGGAAGGAAGCTGGCAACATCAGAAATGAATGAAGAACAACAGAAGCAGTAGAAATCTCCATCTAAGTAACAAAATATTTTCTTCAGTTCTTAAAAATGTGTTTTATGGTCGAAAGTAAATAACACTGTCAAAGGTTTTTTCAAGGTATGTAGATTAAATACATAAAGTAACTACAAACAAGGGGAAAAAGTAAAGGTATCTCTATGGTAGTAAGAACTGTACATTCTGGTTTAAGTGACAACTATTGATTCTACACAGCCTCTGAAAAGTTATGTATATTTTAATCCCTAGAGAAACCACTAAGGAAAACTTCATAAAGGGGGATAGTTGAAAACAAATTAAAATGAGATACTGAAAAAATGTTTAAGTCAAAGAAGGCAACAAAGCGGAAAACAGAAAGGAAAAATAGAATAAACAGAACTAATATTTAAATAGTAGACCTAAATCCAAACATCAATAATTAGGCTAAATGTAAGTGGTTTAAAAACAGCAATTGTCAGAATGGAGAAAAAAACATGACCCAACAATACGGTGCCTACAAAAAAAAACTCACTAAAAAGATACAGGTAGGTTAAAGTAAAATTATGCTAAAAGATGAAAACCCCAATCTAAAGAAAGTTTGGATATCAACAGTTATGGTCACTGATATTCTATAAAGGCTAGAGACAGTTCCAAAAGGCCAGATGTTCATTTGTTTTTTTCAACAAATGTTGCTGAGACAACTGTATATTCACATGCAAAGGAATGAATTTAGATGCCTACCTCAT